GACCATCGCACCACACACGTTTCGACGAATAGTCTTACGACCCGGTGTGTCCACGGGCATCGGGTGTAGCGAGTCATCGTCGACGTAGTCCCATAATATCATTCCTCCGTCCGAGTTGCGCTGTTCTCGAGTGATGACACGAGCCTCCACTTTGATCTCGTCGGTTTGCCGCGACTCGTCCACAATTTCCAGAATGGGCTCCATCGACGCGGCCAAATCAGTGTAATAGATACGCGATTTGGTCACCCCGTCGCCTTCGTCTAGGTACACTTCGTCCACCGATCGAGACTGGTACGCAACTCCCGGGTAGTACACACCGATGGACCGCATGCTCGTGAACACGAGATCCAGTATCATATCGAGCGTGCACTGAGGCGTCTCTTTGAACAAAAAGACCGAAGTGAACTCCTTGATCACGCGTCCATCACCAGCCTCGTCCGCTGTGCAACAATGAGGAGTGTTGGTCGGAGTGTTGGTCGTGGTGTTAAATAGCTCTCGCATCAGGACGTCCGTGTCTCCGTCACCCAGCAACTGGGCGTCACGTGTTCCATCGTGCAGCATTTTCACACTACCCGAGTACACTTGTCCCCAAGCCAGCAGTCTCTGGGTCTCGCCCTCGGTGTTCTTGAGCACCAGGTTGTTAGCGAGTTCCATCTTGCTCTTGGGGAAGTGAGCCACGTACTCCTTCCTTCTGGCCAGCGCGTCTCTCGACGCTAACGCTGTGTACGAGTGCACCCAGTCATGAAACTCGAGCGTCTTGGAGCAGGGTAAGCCTCCTCCTCCCATCAAGGCTCTCATGCCTCCCAAGAAGGCTGTTTGCTGGAATAATGCCTGCTTCAGCACCTGGTTTCTCTGCTCGGCCTGCTTCCTCTTGCGACGTTGCGTCATGGCTTCCTCCTCGTACGCCACAAGCTGGTCGTTATCGGCCAGTTGAGCTCTCCTCTGGGCTCTCAAAGTTGATAATTGCGCCGTGAGTCCGGCCATCTCGGCCTGCAGCGAGGTCACGAGGCATTTCTTCTTTTCTCGGTGTCTCTGCACGCTTGAGGCGATCTGCGAGCGTCGTCTCTGCTTCTTCTGTTCCTCCAGAGTCAGCGGCTCCTTCTTCAGGCCTGAACCCGCGACCTTCCTGCCTCTGCCACGTCCTTTTGCGACGTTTTTGGGGCCCTCACTCGTGGCAACGGATTGTGGAGCTACCTGAGCTACATCAGGGATGCTGCTGGCGCTGCTCGAGCTGCTGTACCCGGCTGGAAGTGCCCCTGAGAACGGAGAAGCAGGCGAAGCCTCGCTCTGTCCCAATTGGGCCGACGTCTGCGTCAAATGGGGCGAATGGTGGCTCAAAGTGGCGGCCGGTGGAGGCGGAAGCGCGCTGAGCGCATCGTCGATCAAAAGGTCGCTCAGATTT